CCCACCCCGCCCTTCCCGGGCCCCGCCCATCCCCCCTGTTCCCCTCCCACAGCTTCCTTCTTCCTGAATTCCTCGGAGGGCTTACACCTCCTTATTTGCGTAAAATCCACCTTTGTTGCGCTCTAGGCATTTTAGATTTTGGAAACAGGACTCGGTTTTTTAGAAAACTGGCTGTGGATGGAGTAGAAAGGGTAGAGGAAAACAGTTTGATGAGAAACTACCGATTCTCCATAGTTAACAGAATATATTGAACGTGGAGTTTTATGCATCGCTTATTGAATAATAAGCTGAGATAAAAGAGGCGATGAAGAGTTAGTGGTAGGAGTGTAGACATCAAGGAGAATGTCAAAGATTTGTTAGCCTTAATGTTTGGTTTTTTTAAAGTGAGTCCAAATATATTCCTATTTGCTTCTAGATACTATGCGCACTGGCACACAAAACTGGGGGGAAATAAATATATAACACCTGTCGGAATGGGAACTGGGCATATGGGACAGGGTGAGATGGGGACCTAACTGTACTCTTTTTAAACATATAAATGTATTAACTATTCAAAAAACTAAAAAAAAAAAAAAAACAGTTACTGCAGCAAATATAGGATCAAGATTTGACAAACCAAGAACATGAGAAGTGCTTCCAACATTATTCTGTTTTTCTGTAGCTTGAAATATTTTATTAAAATTATAAAAGAATAAATCAAGTGTGTGAAATAATAAGATAAAATAAATTGTAAGTGTTAAGGTCGCCCAAGGAAGAACTTGAGGCCGAAAGGGGTAAAGAATTATGAATTTACGAGGTCATCTGGAAAACCAGATGGGCTGGGCCCCCCAATGGCGCCAGCACCCAGGGATGGGGAGTCAGCAGTCTTAAAGGACTCTAGGCAGGCTTTTTCTGGGCGAGGAATTCTCTGGGCGAGTCCTGAGGGGAAAGATAAAGGTCTTAGCAAATGGAATGTGGTCTTAGCAAATGGAATATGTTCTAAGCCAAAGGGAATGTCCGTTGTGAAGTGGTCTAAAGGTCAGTCCCCGGGGAGGGGGGGGTGTTGATTTAATTAGTTGCTCAGACCTAACAGTAAGCTCTATCTAAAACTATGTGTGTAAATATGCATATATACATTTTCCTTAGTTTTATGGTTTATTTTTATACATGCAATATAATATTCAGCAATTAACTAAATTAACACTAATTTAATAGAAAATATGTCTCAAGAGTCTGAATAACTGAGGCAAGAGGCACTCTTCTAATTATCTAGATAGTCTATATTCTCTACTTTATGTCTAATAAAGTAAATACAAAAGCACTTTGAGAAATTAAAAAGTTATATACCACCCTCCACGTGCTACCAAAAAAAAAATAAAAGAAAGCCTAGGGCAGACGCTCCAAGGGTTTGAATCTCAGTTCCATTATTTAATACTTAATGACTTTTGACTATGCTTCAGTTTCCTCGTTATTAATAATAGTACCTACTTTGTAGGGTTATAAGGATGATTAAATGAGAGTACTTAATAAATGTTACCTATTATTATCCATATAATTTTAAAAATATCTGAGCTTTTCAGAAAATGTAAATACTTTGGTAAGTAATTGTTTGTGGGTCCATGTGAATATAACTACCACAGTTGTAAGGCATTGACATATTATTGTCAAAGGATAATAATTGTTTCTTTTTTTCATATGTGAGGAATACTAGAAATATATTTTCCTTAGCAATTTCATCAGATATATAAAAGATAGCTTTCTCATAGACTATATCATTAAAGCTTTTAAAACAATTTAATATTGCCCAGCTGGTGTGCCTCAGTAGTTGAGCATCAACCTATACACCAGGAGGTCACGATTCGACTCCTAGTCAGGACACATGCCCGGGTTGGTGACTTGATCCCCAGTAGGGACATGCAGGAGGCCGTCAATCAATGATTCTCTCATCATTGTTTCTATCTCTCTCTCTTCCTTTCTCTCTGAATAAATAAAAAAATATATTTTTAAAAAACAATTTAATATTTTAAAGAATGAATAGTGTTAATAAAAGTAAACTATTAAAGACCAAAAATTGAGTATGGAGTGTAAAAGTTACTCTGGCAAGCAGAAAACCCAGTCCAGAGATGAGGTTTGAAAGAGGAGAAACAGGCTAAATCTTTTAAACAAAAAGACCATCATTATCTCTATCCCACATTTAAAAAGCAAAGTCGATTGTCAAACTGCAGCAGGAAGGCCGGGGAGGGTTGGGGGGCAGGGGATAGGGTGGTAAGAGATCAACCAAAGGACTTGTATGCATGCATATAAGTATAACCAATAGACATAAGACCCTGGGGGATAGGGGAGGCTAGGGGACTGTCTAGGGCGGCGGCGGGGGGGGGGGAATGGACACATATGTAATACCCTTTGTAATACTTTAAGCAATAAAAAATAAATAAATAAAAAGCAAAGTCTAGCCTGGCTGGTATGGCTC